CTTACCTAGGTGGATAAAAAGACAAAAGTAAGCCTGATTTTATTTTTATGAAAAGATAGTTCTAATTCCTGATTTCCTAAAGACTCTGTTTAAGTCCTATCGTTTTCCTAATTTTGTCTCTTAGGAATGCTATTTCAGATCTTCTTAGCATCATACGTGTATATTTTAAACCTGTAAGATTTGAACACGAAGGTGTAAGAACAGTGTGTTATGTATTCAAGGCATATCAGTTATTAAGAGACAATCATTGATTTTTTAGCTAAGAAAGAAACCGGATTTTTAAAATTTGTTTTTAGTGTCGGACTACACAACATATTTTTCCCCCTCAAGAAGCGATAACTATAGTAGTAATGGAAGATACTGCAAATGAAATCTATCTATTAGCAATCGTAATAAGCCAAAGGGCTTCTTTATTGCCAAAGGACACTTCATCACTAACTGCAGTCAAACTTTTTAAGGCGGATTGACAAGACAGATGTTGACGTTTGGTTATCAGAATGGTCAGGTGCAGAGTTTTTTGTTTTCTGTTTGTGTTTTTGCCTTTTCTGTAGACTAGAGATTTTTTCCACCTCGTCTCTACAGATTTTCTAGATGGGACCAGGTGAAATTTAGTATTTGTGTTTTTTAAATCATGAAATAAACACACAAATAAGTGCATATAATATAAATCCTTACTTTATTTTTATTTTTTAAAAGATTTTATTTATTTATGTATTTATTTTTGAGAGTAAGCGAGTGAAAGAGAGAGAGAAAGAAAGGGAGCGAGCAGGGGCAGAGGGAAAGGGAGAAGCAGACTCCCTGCTGAGCAGAGAGCCCAATGCAGGGCTTGATCCCAGGACCCTGAGATCATGACCTGAGCCGAAGGCAGAGGCTTAGTCTATTGAGCCACCCAGGCGCCCCTAAATCCTTATTTTAAACAATAAGACAAATATCTCCACACTTATTACTCAACTTAAGAACTAGAACATTACCAAAATCTACAACCCCCCCTTTCCCCTTCCCAGTAGCATCTCCTTTTCTTCCCGACAAGTAGTAGCCACTGTCTGGAATATTGTGCTTATCATTGCTTTAAAAAAAAAAACTTGTTTATCATGTATATATGTATCTCTGATTATAGTTTCCTTTGCATATTTTTGAATTTATTAAAATACCGTCACTCTGAATCCTTTCCTCTGTGACATGTTAACATGTGCCATGTACATGTACCAACTGTGTTGGATACTCTGCTATGCGTTAGAAATACAGCTTTTCTCAAAAAGCAAGAAATAGAAGAGGGTGACGTATGTCATACTAATCCCCTGACTTGTTGTTAGTCCTCGCAGGTATTTGAAGTCTACATATCACCTGAGATGTTTTAGAAACTCTAGCCATTTGTAGAGTAACAGGCTTGCTTGTATAGCAGTTAATGTCCTGTGATACTATAAAGGTCATTTATGTTTATTCCCCTATAGCATTCACAACTAAATTAAGAACACATCCTTTTCCTAGCCAATTCTCTTTGGAGATGTATGGCGAAGGGCACAGATAAAATTTTAAGCAGAAACAATTTCTTGTCCTCTGGAAAATATTTGTAATATACGTGTTAATTTGTTTTGGAAAAAAAAAAAAAGAGTAGGCTTATATCCCTCTTGTTCAGTCCATTTTAAGACCTAAGGGTTATAAACCAGCAGTTTGGGGATGGTGATCGTGATGGTGATGATAGTAACGGGACATTTCTGAACGATGTGCCTTGAAATGAAACCAATACGAAAATCCTTGCTTCTTTGTCACTGACCTAAAAGATACACCTGCATACATCCAGCCTGAAGCTTCAGGAGATGTCTATATTCTATATTCTGAATGGAGATAACTATGCTTCTCAGGTTGAGTGGTTGTATTGGTCAGGGTTTTCCTGAGAAACAGAACCAATAGGAGATACACACACACACACATACACACGCACACACACACACACACACACACACAGGCAGAATGAGAGAGAAAGAGAGAGAGAGAGAGAGATCTGTTTCAAGGAATTGGTTCATGTGATTTTGGAAGTTGGCAAGTCTGAAATCTGTGAGATGGGGTGAGCAGGTTGAATATTCCGGTAAGAGTTGTTGATGTCACAGCCTTGAATCTGAAACCTGTAGGGCAGGCCAGCAAGCTGGAAACTCAGGCAGTTGTAATCTTGATGTATGTAATCTTGAAGTGGAATTGCTTCTTCTTCAGCAAATCTGTCTTTGCTCTTAAGGCCTTTAGCTGTTAATGAGGACGACCACGTTATGGAGGGTCATCTGCTTTACTCAGAATCTACCGATTTAAATGTTAATCACATCTGAAAAATACCTTCATAGCAACATCTAGACTGCTGTTTGTCCAAACAACTGGGCTGAAGAGCCTAGCAAAGTTGATACGTACAATTAATCATCACAGTGGACTTTGGCCTTCAGAGTTCCAGTCAATGATGAGGGTTATCCAGAGTTGATCGATCATCGCATTGTTTTCTATGTAGATCATCAATAACCAAACGCCTCAGAATGTGGGGCCCTGAGCTTCAATCTGATCCTCAGACATTATCCATTTCATTCCAGAAGGTGAAATTCTTCAGGACTTGCATAGATTCCTCCCAGATGAGGGCCGTCACCGCTCTCCAGCTCTTCTCCACTTAAGTTTGGGGTTACTCTCCTCTTTTGGAATATCTGACCAAGGGGCTACATTTTGCCCCCAGTTCTCCACGTACCTGCTGTGATGGTGGGACAGATCCCGTGCAGTCCCAGCCCAGAGCCAGCAGTGCACCCTGTTGAGCCTCTCTACGGTTGAAACTCAGACTGGCAGGCTGGGAAGTGCATGTGATTCTCTCACCTTCTTTTTCCTTGGCTGAAACCCTCCTTGAAAACTTTCAATCATCATCCCTTCTTGTCCAGCTGCGGTACTTTTTGATATTTCTTCAGAAGTGATAGCTCGATCAACTTAAAAAAAAAAATCCCAAAAGAAAGCTTTAGGCAGTCGGAGTAAGTGTGGTGACCATCCATCCATCCGTCCATCCAGATTTCTCTCTGGTGCTACTTTGTGCTTACTCGGTGCCCAGCATGAGCCCAGGAAGATCAGAAGAAAAGTGTAGTTATGGTCCTGGCACTCTGCAAGCTTGAAATCTAGTTGGGGCGCTTGAGACTGAAGCTTCTAGTGAAGCTTACCAAAGAGAAAACATTTATCTAACCAAATACCTGAGGCTCAGTTATATCAACAACCAGAGGAGCTTTGCCTGTTAACTAGATGTTTTAGGCCACAGGCATGAGCAGTTAGATCTCATTAATTAGCCTCTTAGATGTGTTCCCTTCTTTGAGTTATGAGACCTCTAACTTAATTGAGGAAGAAAAGCTGAAGTCATTTGAAGACAAGGTGAAAAGATTGGGACTCTTTCTTCTATAAAGAGAGAGGATTATAAGGGAATACTTACTGAAGTCTGTAAAATCCTAAAGGATGTAGGTTATATAAAACCAAAATTACATAATAATTTTATTGCTAAGTTTACAATTATTGTACATATTCTGAAACATAGTACTGTATCATCCTAGTCAGAAACATAATTTCATAAATTCCATATTTCTATTTCATCATATTCTAATTGATTAAAAATACTGTTTAGAAAATTATGATTGAGAACAGATCTATCTTAAGGCGTTTTCTTTTTTAAACAAAGTACATGTTTTACATATTTACTTTTACTTAGAAAAAAAATCTTACTTAGAAAAATACAACTTGGGTGTAGTACCATGTGGTGTAAACAACTGAACTATTTTACTTTTTACTTTCCTATGAATGAGCCAGTATATATTTATTACTGGAGTTCCAGCTATAAAATTCAGGTAAGGGGTTTAAATATACCCTAGAGTATTATTTAAAAATAAATTTGTTTCTTTCAAATAGAATACCAACCTTGGTCTATGACATTTAGGGGAGAAATTAAAATATTAAACTTTTATTACCTAGTAAACTGAAAATAAAGTAAAGGTTAAATAAATACAAAGCAGAAAAAAATATATATACAAAATCACAACCTCTAGGAGGACAAACAGTCTACTGTTCTCTACTGCAGGAGCTTTATCAACAGTAGTAAGTAATTCCACCTCTAGGGCAACGCTAGTATTCAAAAATGTAAACAAGTATGTACTTTGTTTATACAAAGAAATGTGCGGCAAGGTTTGTATTCTTTATAAATATCAAACAGCTAAGTGGATTGTTTCAACACACCAGTAGGGGCCAGCAAAGAGCTCTTAGAATTTTCAGAACAGAATTGGCATTGAGCTATGTTTATTTGATGTGTTAAATCCTTTTTTGACTTCTTTACTTACCACACCACTCTCTTAAGTGAATGAATTGCAGAGACAGTGGAATAAAATATCTGGTGTGCTCAAACTATATTGGGGTATAGTTTTTCTGTCTAATCTGCATATATTTTTAATGGAATGTTTGCCTAGGCTCTTTCTTGGCAGAGTTTTAATAGTCAAAATATAAATGGCATCATTTAAAGACTGTACTACTTGGCTGGAAAAGGCCTTAAAATTACAGGAGAAAATGCTTGGTGACAGCTTCTCTTAAAACTTTTCTTTCTCAGACCTATGCTCAATTTTTCAATAGTATTACTAGGCTAATTTTGTATGTCTATCCTTAAGCTTTCACTTTTCATAAGTGGTGTTTTGGAAGCTAAACTATTTATCTATCTGATTTAATGCGTCTGTTTTAATTCACCCCAAAGTTTTGGTACTTCCGAATTTATACGTCTGTTGAATTCACACATTAAAAAAAAAAAAAAAACAAAAACAGAATATATGCCTTTCTGCACTAACTAACTTGACGAGATTCCTAGTTTGGCTGCTCTTTGGAAATTCAATCCTTGATTTGATACTCAATTACATGGGGTTTCATTCCTACCAACTTCCTGTAATTCTATCCCTCTGGGTAAAAATATTAGTGGTCAAACTGCTGGAGAAAGTATAGGCGCCTTGATTCACATGGTTAAATGTTCATTTAGTAGAGCAGAAGTGAAAAAAAAACACTGTTTCAACTTGAAATGCTAGAAGATTGTTGTTCTTGTGTTACTCATTCATGCAAATTGGAGAAGGTATAATTGAAACAAGGTTGGCAGTGTTTGAGGCAGTGCGCTGCAGCTGAGCTCAGCTGAAAGGTCGCTGGAAATCAAGTGCTTTGTAAGTGAAGGCATTTTGACTACAAGCGATTCAAAATATGTGGAAACGTCAGTCTCAGGAATGGGTCGTCTTTTTCTTTCTATGATATCTGGTATCTAAGGTTTTACTTAGGAGAAAGACTACTACTTCAGAGCTCTTTCAGGCACCACAAATGATTTTTTCCTCTGATGCAGCCCAGCTGCCGCTAGCCTGTCTACCAACAGAGATCTTTGTTATGACTTTCAGCCCTTAACATGTTTGGAAATGAGAACAAATGGCACAAAGCTTACAATTGCACTTTGCAGCCCGAAGAAGCAATACTTACCCTTTGTCAGAAAGCTCCGGAGATGATTTGGAGAGCAGTGTTCTCATGTGCTTCAAGAGACCAAGCCGGATTTCAACGTCTAACGTTGTGCAAATGAAGCTGACTCCTAGACAGACCGCGCGAGCTCCGTTGATGCAGGGAAACGTTAAGACTCAGGAAAGACCATCTGTGCCTTCACCTGAAAATGTTAATAAAAAGAGCAGCTGTCTGCAGATTTCACTACAGCCAACAAGGTACAGTGGATGTCTCCAGCCTTGCAGTGTCTTAGCTGATGGGGAGGATGCTTCGTGGATGTGTGTCTTGAGGGACGGCATGGAGCACAGTGCTGTGGCTGAGAACGAACTGAACGCTGTGAGTGATGGTGACCTTGTGAGCAGTCCTGCCCTTCGCAGCCGTAGCCTTAGCAACTTTTCCACCAGTGAGAATGGGTCTTCCAGCAGCAATGGTAGTGATTACGGGTCGTGCACCAGTATCACGAGCAGTGGTTCCTACACAAACAGTACCATCAGCGACAGCAGTGGTTCTCCTTTTCCACCAACGGATGATCCTTTTTTGGGTGGAAATGTCCCTTCCGACAGCACCTCCAATAGAAGTGTGCCAAACAGGAACACTACTCCATGTGAAATTTTCTCAAGAAGCCCAAGTACTGTTCCTTTTGTCCAGGATGACTCGGAGCGTGGACTAGAAATTATGAAATTGCCAGTGAGCAGGAACTCGAAAATTCCACTAAAACGTTGTTCATCTTTAGTCATTTTCCCTCGGAGTCCCTCAAATACCCCACCAACTTCTCCGACAAGTACGGAGATTCTTCCAAGCAAAGGATCCTATCAAACCTCACACCAGTTTATTATTTCTCCTAGTGAAATTGCCCACAGCGAGGATGGGACTGGTGCTAAGGGATTTCTTTCCACAGCTGTCAATGGGCTCCGGTTATCGAAAACAATGTGTACTCCCAGGGAAGGAAGAGACATACGAGCACTTCACAGGAAGGGCTCATTACAAAAGAGAATTGCTGTTGCACGTAATAGTCCGAATCAGCCTGCCTGTGAAAAGTCACCTGAAGGATATTCCTGTGTCTCAGTGCACTTCACCCAACAAAAAGCAACTACATTAGATTGTGAAACAGCAAATGGTGATTGTAAACCAGAGATGTCAGAAATGAAGCTTCATTCTGATTCAGAGTGCATTAAGCCTATGCACAGGACATCTGCACGTTTACCATCCTCTCAAAACATAGATTACCAAATAGATATCAATGGACAGTTGGAAAGACCAAATTTACAGATAAACAAAAACCATGCTGTTTTACAAAGAAGTATTTCATTGGGAGGAACTTACCCAAATGTTTCCTGTTTATCCAGCCTTAAACACAATTGTTCCAAGGGGGGACCATCACAATTACTCATAAAGTTTGCATCTGGAAATGAAGATAAAGTTGATAACTTATCAAGAGACAGTAACAGAGATTTCACAAATGAGCTATCTAATTCTTTAAAACATTCTTATGAGGTAAGTTTCCTTTGGTCTTGGGTCTTGGTAAATGTTAATTTATACCAGAAAAGCTTTATGAAATATTTGGTTAAAATTTATTATGACTTAGCTAGCAAGTGTTTTATAGTCATAATCTTTGTATTTGCAAATCTGAAGGACCCCCAATAGTTTTTCAATCTATTTGTTATTTTACCAGTATTAGAATATGCATTGAAAAGAAAGAAGAAATCTTTCCAAAGTGATTTAAGGCATGAAACATTTCTGTAGCACAAAAACAAGCTTTAAGTAATAATTTATTTCATAACATTTTTACCTTGGTATATTTTTTCTTTAAGGAACATAGCATTTTTATGTCTAACTCCATATTTTATTCCTCTTTCAAAAATGTTCATTCAGTATTCACCCCCTTTAATCATTGTGAAATAAGGTAAAATATAGAATGCTTATTTAAAGTATTAAATAATAAAAAGCCTACATAAAAGTGTAAAAATGTTGTCACAAATGAACGCGAAGAAAATGTTCCTCTAAAATATGTGTATTTAGTAGAACATTGATAAAAATGATTATTCTGCATGTTTAAAGCAGAGGAAAAATAAATGGCATTTGCATTTGTATATACCCTTAACCACAGGAATTTTGTTTCCACCCAGTTTTCCTTTAGCTACCAGTTAAGACTGCTTCTAAAATGTAACTCGGTCTTTCAACAATATTGAATTACAAATTTTATATTTTTTGAATTTGGTTTCAATTGCTAGGCATTTCCCATACTCTTCTAGTTACCTTAGTAATTTGTTATTTTGATAATTTTGTTTATTAGTCATTTAACTCTAATGAATCTTAACCAAAATAGTTTTTTATATAATTGAGCCTTTCCAAAGTATTTGAACTTAACTAGATTTTCCAAAGTATTTGAACTTAAGTAGATTTTAAAAATTTCTGTATTTGGAAAGTCTTGCCAGATTCCAGGAAATTAAAATTTTTTTCTGGCTAAACCAATTCTAGATGACAGTACATAATAGCTTAGAGGGAAAAAAACATCTTATCTCTTTATCTGTGTTTATATAACTCAGTATCTATATTAAAAAAATTTTTTTTTACTTCTGGACAAGTGGCTTTAGGTAAATAAAATATTAAGTAATTGATAGTTTTCTCTCTTTTCAAATTTCATAAATATAATTATTGTTACCCAATACCCAGATGTTAATGTAAGCAGCTCCTTTACTGAAGATGAATAAAGATTAGATTTCAAATTCTGATCTATATTTTAGGATAATTTTATTTATGAGACTTTTAAGAAACTAGTTTTTAGAGGATGATAATCCATGGAACTGTTTTGCCTCCTGAAAGAAAACAATGAAGTGACATTATAAAGAAACATATTAATAATTTGCTAATTAAATTACATGTACCTTGTAAACTTATCTTACATTTAAGGAAATAAATCTGAAAGGAATAATTAACCTAGAAATATTTATAGATAAATGTATTTATAAACATAGCCTTAAAATAGTTGATTTAAAAAAAATAAAATAAAATAGTTGATTTTGTAGTAATATTATAGTTTGTTAATGATACTTTTGAAAAAAGGTATTTTTAATGTTTTTTAATAAAGTGTGACTAAATGCCTTTTGCATAGCAAAAAAATATACACTTATATTGTTTTTTATTTAATGTAGTTAAGCTAACTTAAATATTTTTTTGTGACAGCCAAATGTCTAGCTTTGTGCACATTCTGTTTTTGGGGAGATTATTGGATTATAAATAGTTCAGAAATGTGTAATTTGCTGGAGAGCTTTAATTTGTTCCTCCAGTTAATGTTTATTAAGCAACTCTACATAAAAGTATTGGTAAGCAATGCTGCAACCACTAAATTCAACATAAACTAGATCTAAATTGATCTAATTGATTGGTAAAGGCTTATTTTAAAAGGAAAATGCTAATGTTGTTTTTCCTAAACTTAGCAGTGGCAACAATACAGGGATTTTAGAAATAATCCTGTGTTTATCAATAATTATATATTAATCTAATTATAGTGGTATATTGTAACTCATTTATAAATAAACAGCTCCCAAAATATTTCCCATGACTCCAGTTAGTCTGGGTTAGTATTCTGATATGCTGAGTCTGGATTCACATTTAACAAGTTGATATTAGAGTAGCATTTAGTAATGTCAGCTATCTGTACTGAGCAGCCGTGAAATTAAATCACTGCTTTGGTCAGGGACCCTGGTTTTTAAAGCACTGAGAGTCTAGAAATTCTTTTCTTACGTGTTTAGCTACCAGTCTCCAGCAGCATAATATCCCGTTTCTAGCTCTCTATAGTAATCACTCATTAATAGCTAATATTTTAAAATCTAGTGAGAACTTTCACCTGTATCTGCAACAGGGCTCTGTTCTGTGTTTACAACTTAGAATGAAAATGGGACTTTGTAGTCTGTGTGATAATGTTTATTTTATTTATTTGCTATCAAAGAACATAACAATAACTGGCATATGTTTCTTATATATACTTGCTGAAATACAATATTTACTTTTGTAAAGGCTGTCTAATGACATTTGACATGAAAGTAGGTAGTTGATGTTTTAACATTGTAATATTTTGTCAGCTCAGTCAAGAAATTGTTTTTATCTAGTTATAAAAATGATTCTTCAGTTTTCTAAACTCTATGGACAGTTTACTCAGTTGTTACTTTATTTTCTCCTGTCTATTGTTCTCTAAATCACCTGTGTTGTTAGGATGCTCAGAAATTTTGTTATCCTATTATTTAAAGTACCTCAGCATTGTGCACAAGTTTGTACATGTCTTCCATTCTTCACATAGATGCACATTTTTATCCAAAAGTTTGGCTTTCCATTTTTTCTTTATGTTACAGAATTTTTCTTCATTTCCTGTCCTGGGTTGGTAAATTGTTTAGCCTGGTATGGTAGAACTTTAAAAAACCCTTTCTCAATTATTTTGAAAGCCTTTAACACTAATCTCAAGATGACACATTTTAATTACTTAGTTGTTCTTCTAAAATAAGTGTTTTAAATATGTATTTGTTTTAGTGTTCTATTATTTTCACGGTTCTGTTAACTTTAGCAGACTATTTAGAGACATTTGGTTAAATTTATTTTAAACAACACTTAATCTTTCCTATAAAAACTAATATAGTTTATAAATATTGACTCTAAAACTGTGATGCAACAATGTGAATGACCCATTTTAGAAATTTGGTAAGAGATGTACACTTGTGAATGCATGTCTCTTAGAACTAAGGAACTAGAATATTTTTTTAAATTTTTTTTAAAGATTTTACTTATTTATTTATTTGACAGAGAGAAAGAGATCACAAGTAGACAGAGAGGCAGGGGGAAGCAGGCTCCCTGCCAAGCAGAGAGCCCGATGTGGGGCTTGATCCCAGGACCCTGAGATCATGACCTGAGCCGAAGGCAGAGGCTTTAACCCACTGAGCCACCCAGGCACCCCCTAGAGGAACCAGAATATTAATTTCAGAGCGGTTCAGGGAGCTGAGTTGTTTGCTTCAGAAAAACTTCCGATTTCTCTGTAGATATGATTTCTTTAATTCATTCATCTGGCACACATTTGAGTGCCTACTGTTTGCCAGACACCGACCCAGGCCCTGGGAACAAAAGATAATAAAATACAGTCTCCTTGGGGGAACTCCCATGCTAGTAATAGAGATATGCTGGTAAACAAACAGAAATTCAGTCTAACGGGTGATGTGCTAAAATAGAGGTGTGTATGAGAAGGTGAGAAAGATGCAAAAGTACTCATCTGGAGGAGAGGACCTGGTTGATAGAGGGAGACTTCACGGCGGTGGTGACATTTGAGCTGAGTCTCGGTAGGTGAGTTGGAGTTCACCAGGCAGAGAAAGCAAAGAGGGTGTTCTGGAGTAGAGATTCTCAATTTTGGCACTTGTTGACATTTGGGTTGGATACTTTTTCTTGTGGGAGTGCTGTCTGGTGCCTTAGGACGTCCAGCAGCATCTCTGGCCTCCACTTCTTAGATGCCCATAGCACCCCTCTCTTCTAGTTGTGACAATCAGAAAACGTCTCCAAATGTTACCAAAGGTCCCCTAGGGGCAGAATGGATTCCTGTTGAGAATCGTTGCTCCAGGCAGACGCAGCAGCATGTGCAAGGCTAGCTGTGTGAAAGGGGGTGTCATGAACTAAGAGAGAGGATCCAGGAGAAGGGCAGATTGAGAGGACAATGGAGAAACCATGCGGTATTAGGTTCATGTATTGAGAGAGTGCCCCTGGGTGCTGGTGGAGATACAAGATCAGGGCTCCGGAGAGAAGCAAGGGCTGGAAAGGTAGCTCGGGAGTTACAAGTATAGTCAGGGCCTTAGCTAAGGATGAACCAAAAAGCATAAAAGTGAGATGGGAGGGGGTAGTAAATCAGAATTCTGGGGACCACAGACTATGTGGGACAGCAGAAGAAGAGGTGATCAGGAGACTAAGAAGAGCCACTGGAGAGGCAGAGAGGCCAGGAGAGCAGGGAAGCCCAGAAGTCAAGGGAAAGGACAATTCAAGGAGGGCAGCATGCAGGACCACAGAACCCATGCGTCTGTGGCAGTTAGGACGTCCGTGGTGACTTCAGCAAGAGTGTGATCGGGGGTAGAGCGTGAAAGCCGGGCTGAAGAGAGAATGAAACAGGTGAGGAAGAGAAATATCAGTGTTATAAAACAGGCATGAGTCAGTGTGGGCACGATATATACTGAATGGTTGGTATACAGAAGACAGGGTGTTGGGTGGATATAAATGCACAAATTCTCTGTCCATGAGAATATTGCAACCTAGTCTCTAGGGGAAGACGGGGCTTCTAGTTCTCCGTTCTTTTGCCTTTGAACTATAGTATAAGCGAGTATGAGCAGTGAAACCAGATCTGGAGATTCAGTAATCTGAAATTAAAGAAACAACATGTTAGGAGTGCAAACTTGACGCTGCCCGAGTAGTCACAGCGCACTTTGAACAGTATCATTCTTAACTTTCTCCTTCTCTCTCCACCACCAAAA